CTAATAAAAAAGGAAGGGGGAAAAAAAAAGAAAAAATATTATTATTATTAATAATAATAATAATAAAGGCTGGGTTGTCCCTTTGATGTTGGTATAAAACACCCCAACTGGACACAGAGGCGTCTGAAGGGAGACAAGAGAGACGGGATGGTAAAATTAAGGACCGAACGAGAAAAAAAAAAAAAAAAAAAAAAAAAAAAAAAAAAAAAAAAAAAAAAAAAAAAAAAAAAAAAAAAAAAAAAAAAAAAAAAAAAAAAAAAAAAAAAAAAAAAAAAAAAAAGGTAAAATACAGACACATCCAAAGCCCCGAGGCCGCCTCGCTCCGGAGCGTGGAGCAACGCGGAGACCTCAGCCCGCGTCCTCCAGCGGCGCCAGCTCCTTCATGCCCCCCGAGGGGACCGGGAGGAGAGCGGGCTGGGCTGGGTTTGGCCCAATATTTTAAATTTTAAGCATTCTGAACGATTTGACGGTGATTTCGAAGGGAGGCGGCGAGGACGCTGCGGTGCGGGGACCCTTCTGCCGCTTCTGCCCGCGGGACCCGTTCCCACCGCAGCCCCGAGCGGCTCCTTGGGGGGCCCGGCCCGGCCCAGCCGGTCGGGGCTGCCGGAGCGGCGGCGGCGGCGGCGGAGGAGGATGTTTCTGATCACCGCGTACTTTTAAACACTACAATCAAGGAACGTAGCCAGGAGGTCGGGCCTGGAATAAAACCGTAAAATCAGAATCGCAATCTTTTTGATGTTTCAAAGTCTCTTTGAATGCCTTTGATACACTCAATAGCAAATTTACTGGGCTATTATCACTAATAAGCAGAAATAAGTAATATCTCTCAGAGACTTCTATGGGCTTAATGTGTCCTTTAAAATAAAGTTTTTTAACATCACTTAATTCCCCCTCTGTCTTTGTCTCTCCTGCAGCAGAGCTCCCTGGTGATCGCACGGCTACACCTGGGCGCCAGCAAGGGCTCTCCCGGTACCTTCGGCCCCCCGAGTTCTTTCCTTTTCCTCTCTTATTTGTTATTTTGTTTAAAGGATGGCCGGGGTGGGTGATTTTAAGTATCTTAGGGGTCCTGCACGCAGTACTGAGCCGAAACGGAGAGGAAGATAGGAAGAGGAGATAGGAAGAAAGGAAGAGGAGATAAGAAGAGGAAGAGAAGAGAAAAGAGAAGAGAAGAGAAGAGAAGAGAAGAGAAGAGAAGAGAAGAGAAGAGAAGAGAAGAGAAAAAAAAAAAAAAAAAAAAAAAAAAAAAAAAAAAAAAAAAAAAAAAAAAAAAAAAAAAAAAAAAAAAAAAAAAAAAAAAAAAAAAAAAAAAAAAAAAAAAGAGCAGCGGGAGCGACTCGGGCCTGAAGCCGCAGTGCCCCGGGCCACACTCGGCCTCGCTCGGCTCCGCGGGTGCGGGCGGGGTCCCGCAGCCCGGCCTGGGACAGCGCCCGGCCGCGCACCCTAGGCGTGGTGCGCATAACCCCGCGGCCTTTGTTTAATGATTTTATTGAAAGAAGGAGACAGTTGTGGGGAAACAGGTTTGACAAGGAGCTGCATTTCCCCCTCGAGGGAATAGCTTTTTTTTCACCCCTCTCTCTCTCCCTTTCTTTCTGTTTTTGGTTTTCCTTTGACATCAAAGTCAGCAATCGGTTCATTGCAGTGTCAAGATCATTATTTAATTTATTTATCTCCACGAGTTAAATAGCTACACACCTGCAGCCCGGCGAGAGGGTTGGCGGGATAACACGGCGCAGGGAATGGGAACGAAACTCAGGGCCAGGAGAGAGGGACGGGAGGGGGACGGCGAGGGAGCGAGGAAAAGAGAACGAGGAGCGGTACTAGAGGGTAAGAAAAGAGAGAGAGAGATGTGAAAACAAGGCAGGGAGAAAGAGAACGGGGGGAGAGAGAGAGGGAAGGGATAGAAAGAGAAGGGGGATAATGAGACAGGGAGAAAATATTAAAAAATAAAGACAAGAAAAAAGGAAGGAAAAGAGGAAAAAAGGAGGAAAGAAGCAAGAGAGGGAAAGAAAGAGGGAAAGTACGAAGGAAAGATCTCCGCCGAAGTTTCCAGCCCAGTCGCTCCTCTCTCGCCACCTGTCCCCGCTGTCGCCACGAGGCAACGGCCCCCACCAAGCCCTTCCCCTCCCCCGAGGGGCTCCCAGCTCAGGGTGTCCCCCAAAGCTGGGCCGCGGTGGGAGCGCGGGGTCCCCGCTCTGCCCCATCCCCGGCAAGGCCCGGCGGGCCGGGGCCGGCGCTCCCCCCGCCCGGCTCTGCCTGCGACCATTGTCAGCCTAATGCGGCTGGATGTCGGAGGACACTGAGCTATCGGTGTTATCAGCCGGGCTGACAGCGCCTGTCAGCTGGGGTTACATCAGCGCCCGCCGCCGCCGCGCCGCCCCATGCCGGCCGCATCCAGCCCCGCGCGTCCCAGCGGATCGTCCCGCGGCTCCGGGGCCCTCCCCAAGCCAGCTCCTTTAATTGTCCTTATTTGTAAGAGCCGTTTTGTCATGCTAAACAAGGTTGGAGCAGCCATTCTTACCTCTCCTTTCAGCCCTTTTCTCCTCTCGCCTTTTGTTTACCTTCGCCCGATCTCTCATTTATTTATCTATCTATTCTTCCCCCGCTTACCCTCCCATTCAAGCCCCATGTATGTTAATTGTGTTACGCCGTTTAATTCTAACATCGGTCTCCAAAGAGCACTTAATGAGCAAAGCACATCCAAACACGCAGCGCTCCGGCTATTCAGTCCCTCCAGACGGATCCTCTGCCTCTTCCTCCTTCCCCTCGTCTCTGCCCCCAATTCCCTCCCTCCGTAGAGGGAAGAGCCCCCCGAACATCACTGACTGAGCCGGACAAGACGCTTATTCCAAACCATCCCCTTCCAGCACCGCCGACACTCCCCTCCCCGCTCCAAATATTTCCTCGCACCGCTACAACTTCAACGCCGCAGAGGCAACTTGGGGAAATCCTGTTCCCCGACGGGATGGGGGTCGGGGCTGTGGGGGAGCAGCCCTCGCAGCCCCCCGGCTTTGCTCCGCTCCATCCCCGCTTTCCGCAAGTTCTCTCTCCCGGCAGCCGCGGTTCCCCGATGGGCTCCAAAGGAGCCCGACCCGGCTCAGCTCGCCTCGGCTCCGATCCGGCCCCGACCCGCTGCGCTCGGGGCGGGGAGAGCCGGGGGCAGCCCCCGGTGCGGAACGCGGGGCCGCGGCCCCGCACTCACACCACGCAGTTGCCTCGTTTGATGACAGATTGTCTTTATTCAAAATGTCTTTGTTCAACAAATGAAAAGGTTTAACGAGGTAAAATCTTGCCGGATACATCTTAGTTTCTGTTCCTTCTTTCCCCAAGACATTGTGAAAACATATTTGAATTGCCATCGTTTTTATTCGGTTTTTCGTTATTATTAATATTAGTAGTAGTAGTAGTATTAGGTTTTTTTACAATTCTACTGCCTGACTTCATACCTGACGCTCTGTCTAAAGTAAACTTAGATCTAGTCTCACTGGATCACACAAATTTAAGGACTATCTGTTTTAAATTAAGCAAACACTATTATATGTTTTAAATATAAATGTTTCTCCCCCTCTTTTTTTTTTTCTTTTTTAACTTTGAAGAGCCTTTTTCTGACATGAAAAGCAATTTTACCTAGTAGTGCGTGGTGGCAAAATATATATATACTTATATATATAACACAGCTGATCTCGTATTTCAATGTGCAAAAGGAAAACAACAAGGGGAAAAAAAATAAAATCAGAGTAAGACCGGGACTTCCCAAAGTCAAGTCCAAGTGACATGAGACCCTGGAGAACTCATAGACATTAAGAGAATAAATAAAAATCGAAACAGCCTCTCTCACACTCTCTCTTTTTTTTTTTTTTTCTTTTTCTCCCCCGCTTTGTCCCAAAAGGGCAGTTCAAGCTTCGCTTTTCCTTTTTGTTTTTAAACACATTTACAACTCTTACAAGTGCCGGGCTCCTATCTCCCCCCGCGATTGCAGATCCCCCCCGAGCCTGGGGCCAGCTCCCGGGGCGAGCTTTAGGCGAGAGCATCTCCGAGGCAGCGTCCGCGTCTGTCCCGGCCCGGCGGCGGGCGGCAGAGTCCTGGTTCGGGTGGCCTTTTGCTCCTGCAGGTTTTATGTACATGCACACACGAAGGAATCCCAGTTCCAGCCGCCACCCGGGGTGGGGGACACACGTACACACACGCCCGTGGGGGTGTAGGTGGGTGGGTGTTACATGGCAGTCGCATGTGCTGAAGAATAGGGGTCTATCCCAGTCTTGGTCATGCCTGGGAATAATATGTAGGCAACTGGAGGTTGCAAACTGGAAGCCGACCAAGCGGTACAGTTACATGGCACGACATAGCCCGGGTTAGTTGGCGAGGGGTGAGTGTGGGTGTGTTGGCTGGGGCAGCTCAAGCTGCCGAACGCCCCGTTCTGGTATCCCAAGGTGGAGGCGTAGGGCAGGGTGCTGGTGGCTAAGGTGTGAGGAACCTCAGTCATCTTCTGAATGGCGCTGGAGCTGAACTGGCTGGGGTCAAGTAAGGAGTAAGGTGCTGAGGTGGGAGGCAGGAAAGCCCTGGCCTTCTCCGGGGAGCTCAGCAGCGAGTCAGTGGCCCCCACGGGAAGCCCGGCAGCCTTTAAAGGATCGGTTTCCCCGAGGTAAGGCAAAGGGAAGACATACCTGTCCTTTTTCAGCAGGTTCTTGGGCTTGCGCCGGGGCCGGTACTTGTAGTCGGGATGCTCCTTCATGTGCTGCGCCCGCAGCCGCTTGGCCTCGTCGATGTAGGGGCGCTTCTCCGCCTCGGAGAGCAACTTCCACTCCGCGCCCAGCCGCTTGCTAATCTCCGAGTTGTGCATTTTGGGGTTCTCCTGGGCCATCTTGCGCCGTTGGCCGCGGGACCACACCATGAAGGCGTTCATGGGGCGCTTGATGTGGTCGCTGGGCTTGGACATGCTTCGGCCGGGCGGGCGGGCGGGCGGGCGGCGGTGCGGGGCGCGGCGCGGCCGTGCGGGGCTCCGGACGGCGGCGGGAGGAGGAAGAGGAGGAAGAAGAGGAGGAGGCCGAAGGAGCCGGAGGAACGGGAGGAGCGGGCTCAGCTGATCATCACAGGTCCTCCGCCAAGGCCGTCCCCGGCGGGAGCCGTGCCGGGGCGGGGCGCGGAGCGGGGCGCGGAGTGGAGCGCGGCCCGCGGGGCCCGGCGGGCGGCTAGGCGGGCGGCGAGCCGCCGGGCGCTGCTGCGGGCCGGCCGTGGGGACGCGGGGCCGTGCGGGGAAGTTCAAAGGCGCGGGGCTGCGGCGGGCAGGCTGACATAGCGGCAGGGCGGTCACAGCGCGGCCGGGCGCCCAATCAGCGCGGAGGGGGCCCGCTTAAAAAGAGAGAGAGAGGAAGGGCGAGAGGAAGAGGAGGGGAGGGGACAGCGCAGGGAGGAGGAGGAGGAGGAAGGAACGAGGGGAAAGGAGGGGACGGGAGGACTCCCCCCCCGCCAACGCGCGGATTAAAAGGAAGGCTTTTGTGAGTTGCTGCGCTAAGAGCAGCTGTGGAGGAAGGGGGAAGGCGAAGGGGGTCGCCCCCATGTTCCTCGTCCCCCCCCATGCTCCTAGTCCCCCCCCCCCGTGCCGGGGGTATGAGGAACGGGGCTGGTCCCGGCGCCCTCCAGGCTCTGCCGCCGCCGCCGTCGGGGCTGCGAGCGCTGCAGCTCTGTCGCTTCCCCCCGCACCCCCCGCCTTCCCCGCGCTCCCGGCCGCTCTCCCGCTCCCCCAACCCCTGCTTTCACCGCTCCGCAGCCCCGCTTAACCTCGGTAGCGGTCCGCGTCCCTGCTTGCTTTGAATAATTGCCTGCCTCCCGCGAAACGCCCGTGGGGAAAATATTTATTAAATGGAAACAATTGTCCTGGCTCCCGGGGGGGGACCGCGTTTGTTCCGGGCTTATTGGTTTTTAGCACCTGCTTTGGTTAACAAACCTGCTCCGAAAAGCCGCCCCCGGCCCCCGCCCGCCCGCGTCCGACAGCGACCGGGGAGAGAAACGAGATGTCGGGGGGGGCTCCCGGGACGGGCGGGGGGGCGGCCCGTCCGGCCCCTCGGGGGTCTCCCCGCGTCGCTCCGCCCGGAACTTCGCCTCTTGCCCGGGGGGAACCGCGGCCGCGGCCCTTCGGTGCCAGGGCGCTGCTGTTTGGGGGCACTCACCTACCCCCTTCCTCCTCCAAATATTATTATAATAATAATATAGATATTCATATTATTATTATTAATAATAATAATAATAATAGAATAAACCACCCTCGTCCTTATTTCCTTCTTCTTCACAATAAATGACTTTCATTTGCCGGCAGAGCCCTGAGCGTACGGAGCCGGGGAGGAGGAAGGTGAGGAGGAGGAGGAAGGAGAAGGGGGGCAAAGGATCTGGAGCCCGCTCACCTGGACGGGACCGGCAGCACCTGCGGCTCTGGCTCTGCTGCCACCAGCCCCGTCCCGCGGCTTTTTTCGTTGCGCTCAGAAACGCACGGCGAATTCCCCGGTCCTCGCCGGGACCGCCGTGCCCGGAGCGGGGGAGGCAGGCGGGAAAATTCCTGAGGGAAATTTCCCCCCATCCCAAGGTGGGCTCCTCGAGCTTGTCTCCACCCCCGGGAGCCACTGATTTGCATATGGGACCCGCAAACAAAATAAGGGGGGTGCAGGCGGCCCCTTCCTCCACTGCCCTCCCCAGGGTCGCCTGCGGTGTGACCCCCGTCGGAGACCTCGTGCCACGCGTGGACCCGCTATCCCGTCGGGCCGGGGCTAGGATTTCCGAGCGCTGCTCTCCCCGACAGGCACCCGAGGGCTTGGCCGTGGCGTGGTGGAGTGGCACGCGTGGAAACTTCTTTTTTGACCCCACTTTTCTCGTGGAAACAGCGATCGCAGTGGCTCCATCCCCACGCTTCGCATCCGCGGGGAAACCTGCGCGGGAGCCGCTCCCCCTCGCCCCTCTCCTCAGCACCGCGTGTCCCCCTCTACGCCGTTTGAAACACAAAACTCCCTTTGTTTTTATGGTTTCTTTTCAAATTCTTCGAAGGAGGGGGAAGAAATTATCATCCCTCGCCAAGACGAAATGAGGGGGACCTGACGTCGCTCTCCAAAATCCGGGTAGCAAGAGGAACCGTTCGGGAAGGAGTGATGGCTCGCAGGCTCTGCCTGGTCCCGAAAAGTCTTTCCAATCAGTTAATTTTGCTCCGCAATATTAATGATAAAAAATCGGCAGCCCGGCTTTCATTGGCTGCCACCTTCGCCTGGTGCAGCACACGCTGCATCAGCTCGGGGCATTTCGGGATCCAGTTTGTTCATTTACATCCCATATATCCCCCCGCGAACAAAAAAAAAAAAAAAAAAAAAAAAAAAGGAAAAGAAAGATTTCCTTCGAGACGCGGACGCCTAAATATTTAAATACTTCCATTTTCCCCCGAAATCACCTGTCCTGGAAGGGCGTCCGTTGCAGCTGTGCACCCCCCGAGGTTGGATTTTATAAAGTTTGTACCATTTTGGGGGGATTGGGGTTGGTTTTTTTTTATCGGGGGGAGAGCAGCGATTTCCAGGGCGGTGACTGACTGCCTTTCTCCTCGGCAGCTTGTTTAGACACCAAAACTAATAGTGTGATTATTATTCCTGAATGATATCATGGTAATGCAGAGAGATAAGAATGGCCTGATAGGGAAACATTAAAATTATATTCTTGGAGATAGTTCATTTGGAGGAACTTTAAATTAGATGAGATCATGTAGTCCGAGATCCAGTATCAGCATAAATAGAGCTGTATTTCTGCCTTCACCCTCCTCCTCTTTCTCACATGAATCATGGTTGTTTTTGCAACAGCCAAAAGTGAGGGAAGTGCACCTATCATTTGAAAATACCCCCAATCCAAACTTTATTTAGGAAAAGAGTGGATCTTCAAATAACTTTTTTTTTTTTTTTTTTTTTTTTTAATGCTTCAGGCACTGGGAAAAGGAGGGGAGTATTAATTGATTTTTAATTGAAGGAAGCACATTTTGGAAAGACTTCTGAGTTTCTGGAGCTTTTTAGAAACACTGAGGACACCAATTCCACTTGCTGTTATGAGAACCTGGTGAGATTCCCACCACCAGGAATGCTTTTTCCAACTATCTAGAATTAGCTCAGTGCACAGAATCCCAGCAGTCACTGCCAGGGATGATTATTTTGCTACTTCCCCATCATATTTGCTTATTTTACATGCAAGTGCACACATACATTTATTTATGCATGTGCCACATATTTAAAAAATACCCTTTTTAATCACATGGCATCAAATAATATTTTCTGAGAGAGATATTATGGAAAATATACGCACCCAGCAGCTCATACAAGCAGCAGCACTGATGCACTCACAGATACTGTGTGGAACAGACTTAGNCCCCCCCCCCCCCCCCCCCGAAGATCATTGATGCAACTCCAGCTACAAATAGTTACATGGATATAACCCCCTGCACGGAGAGACTTAATGGAGCAGGTCACTGCCCTGTACATCCACCACACCAGAGGGGAGCAGAGAAGGATGTGGCAGGTTGGAGCATCCCAGAGCTGCTTTCTCACCCTGGCCAACAAGAGATGCTTCCTGAGAAAGCACCACAAATTGCTTAAAAAATAAAGATTCTCCATGGATTAGGACCTGGTTTAAGCCCTTTCCAAACTTCATTTTTGTTCTGCCCATTTAATCTTCCTGTGACACTCCATGATTCCATGGACCCACCCCATCCTTCAGTGTAAGGAGCACGTACAGATCTCCCTCCTCACAGGTGATCTGCTCTTTTTTGCAGCATCCCTTTATCTTTGCTGTTAGTGAGGAAGGTGAGGTGTATTTTTTCTCCAGGAGATTTCCCCCCTGGCTCAGGCTCCCTGCAGGTGATAACCCTGTGGTGTGGCCACTCACCACCACCACTGGGAAACCTGTCCCTGCTGACTCTGTGGGCAGGTCCAGGGCTGTTCCCTGGAGTGAAGGTCCTGCTCAGCGAGCCAGCAGGGTGGCCTTATGGTGTGATTTTATGCCCTGAATTATATCAGCCTTCCCAGACCGTAAAATTAAGCATAGTTCTAGAATTATAGAATGTGCCATGGTTTGGGCTGGAAGGGAGCTGTAAAAGTCATCGAGTCCAAGCACCTTGCAATGAGCAGAAACACCTTCCACTGGACTAGGTTGCTCAGAGCCTCATCCAACCTGATCTTTAATATTTTCAGGGATGGTACATCCACCACTTTTCTGGGCAGCCGGTGCAGTGTTTTACTGGCATATGGAAAAATCTTCTTCCTTCTGTGTGTCTTACATCTCCAGTTCCCTGTGTGTTGTCACAAAAAGGGCTGTGTTGGGCAGCACCAACTGCAGCCAGGCCAGCAGCCACTTGGGTTGATGTTGCTGTCCCTGTGAAGGATGTGGCACTGTGGCAGAGGGCACCAAAACTGTCCCTCATAGAGTCAGATGGCAGCTTGGGCTCTCCAGGACCCGCAAAAGGCCTCTGGGTACTGGAGACTCGAGAGGCAGTGCCACCTCTGTGCCACCTCCTGGCCTTTCCTCAGCAAATTGAGCACTTAAATAATAGCTAAGAAGTGGCTGAGGAGTTGTTCAGCCTCCCCAGGGTGAGAAATGCCTGGTGGAAACCCCTTGGGATTCCCCCTCTTTTGGGTAGACTCTCTGTGCAGAACCCCAGGAGGTACTTGGGTGCCTGAGCCCACCTCCCCAGGGAAGGGTCCACAGAGTTCACCTGCAGATTTTGCTTTCTCTGCACCAAAAGCAGCAGGAGGTCTCTCCAGTAAAATGAGTCCATTCACCGTGGGCACAGATGTAAACCTGGGGCTTGACACAGCATTGACTTCCCAGATACTGCATGGCCAGGTACCTTCAGTCATTGTCAGCAACATGAAGGGAAGGGTAAATGACCTGAGCTCAGGAGTGCAGAGCAGGCTTGTAAGGAGAGGCTGTATCTTTTATTAGACCAACTGATACTGACAGGAAAAAAAAAAAAAAGAAACCAGACAGGTTT